CCTGCTGAGAGCAGCGCCGTTAACGTCGGCTCTGGTTTTACCTCCCTCCTGGTGGAGCCGGTTGTCCTTAACGCGACAGAGATTTTACACGTGGCTCATAAATGGGTATCTTTTCCCGGATTGGGGTCTCTCTCATGCACAGCTCTTTTGCATTCTTAGCCAAAATAGCATTTACGCTTTTTGTGCTGCTTAAATGTTATAATGAATTACATTCACGTGGCAGCATCTTTTAAATACTATTGGGCAGTGCGAGATATAGGCCTTCCTCCCAGAGGAGGAGTTACGGTGTTCACCTTTGGGTAACGCATCCCTCTCCGGGTGTTTTTACCTCTTGCAGGCTTTGATCCGGTTGCTGCAACAGGCCCGTGCATTAGTGTATGAAGAAAGTAAACTTGAAAGAGATTTTTATAAATGAGAACAACGTTGATTGATTTAACACCCTGCTAGTACAACATGTAAGAAAGATTGCAGTTTTCCTAATTTATGCTGCTTTTGTCCTAGGTACAACTCTAAAAGGAGACACTGGAGAAGGACCAAACTGGGCTTGTAAGAGAGGCCGTCTCCTGGGAACTCTAATAACACTCGTCTTTCTGCGTCAGATTGGTCCATCCCTGGCACCGCTCGGCGGCTCCCACAGTAATTCCTTCTCTGGACTCCAGTGTCCCTTTCTTATAAGATGGCCTGAAAATTGATGCTAAGAGAAAGTGTTAAGCAATTTTGTATCTGAAACAAGAAGACTGTGTCCTATTAGTGTTCTTTTGTTCAGGGCTCATATGTGTTGACAGTATAGAGGCTTGTTAATAAATATGCACCCGAATGATTCATTTGAAATTATTTCATACATATATGGTAGAATAGCAGTGTGGAGACTAGCAACTAATCTGAGTATATTTCACCTTGTGTGATAAGCTCTGTACTTTTCAGATGGAGAGTAGGCTGTCTTCATTTCCTGCAATTCAGTAAGAGTAAAGCTTGCCAGATTATTTTAAAGAAGACATAACTAATTTTAAAGTAGAGTTTGTTAAAAGATCTTCTTTTATTAGACAAACTGAAGATGCAAAGTCTTTCAGAGGCACAAGGCCTTTCCAGCCTTTAAAAGGAAGGAACAGTCTTCACTTTACGACCTTGTGGCCTCAGTTAACCAATGCTGTTCAGCATTGGGAAGAACCTTGGGGATGTTCTGGTAAACTTATGAAAAGTTAATATGAAAAGTAAGCGGCATAGTCAGAATTTGCTGGAGAGGTGTCTGCACGGCCCTCTGAGCTGGGAGGCTGCGCGGATGAGCCTGGCTGGGGGGTCTTGGCCTGGCCTGCAGCGCTGGGCTCTGCTCCCAGGCGGGACTGGGGCAGCTCGGGGTGTCTGCGGTCACAGGCACAGCTGGGGAGCAGATGCAGCGGAAGAACGGGATGGAAAGGAAGTTTCACTTGGATTGGATAGGAAGAAGGGAGGGAAGTGTAGGGCAAGGATAGACGGGTGGGTTAGTTCCCCTGGAAAGTGTATATGGAATAACCAGAATATGTAAAAAAATTTAGAGCTAATCTTTGCTGGCTAAAGTTGGTCTTGATGCCAGCCACAGATGTAGTTTAGTTTAAAACATTTTCAGATTTTTATTAATGCTGCTCAAAGAAAAGTGAGAAGCTGTTCAGAAAAGGGGAGGTTAAAGGGATTAAACTGCGCTGATTAGTCAGCACTCCAGCACCCCAACATCCACCTTCACTGCTAGGGCCTGTAAAACACGACCTATGTTTGCAAGAGGGAGCTGGAAAAGGAGGCTGTGACTCAGCACTGAGCCCGGTGCTGCTGCTCCTTTGCCTTTCCCAGTGCAGGCCTGGGAGAGGTGCCCTGCTTAGCAGGGAATGAGGCTGCTGGCGGGGGTGTCTGCGGCAAAGCCCGCGCTGGCACCGAGAGCTGCACCCTGCGCTGCGGCCAAGGCCGGGCCGGTACCGAGAGCTGCACCCTGCGCCACGGCTGCCCCGGCACCGAGAGCTGCACCCTGCGCTGCGGCCGCCCCGGCACC